CACACACACACACACACACACACACACACACACACACACACACACACACACACACACACACACACACACAAACAAACAGAAAAGCAAACCAAAAAATGTGTCCACGCACCAGGGAGTAGCACGGTGCACTGTGCCTATGCACGTGGTGCGCACAGGTTCGCGCACATCATGGAACCTAACTGGGCCTGTATCTGATGTCTGCGCAGTCCAGGGCCCAGAACTGGGACAATGCCCGTCCAAATGGCCCTTGTCGGATCTGGGTTTGCCACACACACAGAGAGAGAGAGAGAGAGAGAGAGAGAGAGAGAGAGAGAGAGAGAGAGAGAGAGAGAGAGAGAGAGAGAGTTACCGGCTTGTCATTGTTGCTGGCGGTCATAGCCTCAAAACTGTTTACATCATTTTCAAGTTGTACGTAAGCGGCACGTGCACTCATCTTGTGTGCAAATTGCTGGTGTGAGCTGGATGTTTTGTGCAATGTAGACATCAAGTTGGCAGTAATAACAGCGAGAAATCACGATCTCGTCCAGCAAAGGTTGAACCTTTTCAGCTGAAAAGAATGATGGAAAGACGGACAGAAACAAACAAACAAAAAAAGGCATTCAAACATTGACATGTGTGCCACACAGGCAGGCAATTGGTTTCGGAATCCTGGCGTAGGACGTTCGCACTCGCACTCAACGTTAAGCTTTTGGTTACATCCTTGGGCACACAACGTTGGTGGCAACAACATTTTGAACTTTATAACGGAATTGCCTCTACCAAGGCAATTTGGAAGAGGGGTGTTTTTCTTGTTTTTTTTTTTTTTTTTTTTTTCAGATGGGGCGTGTTCCCTTGTTAGGTTGGTTGGGGATTAAAAAAAGTTTAAGAACTTTGAAAATAAAAAATAAAAAGACAAAAAGGCATGTGAATGCAGCAGCAACAACGATACATGATTCCAAGAGTTCCCTGTCCATCATTATCTTCTGGAAATTGTTTAACAATGAAATAGCTTTTGCTGCTTTTCTCACAAGCATCCCTTTAAAAAAAAAAAAAAAAAATGCATTGTATTTTTTTTCCCCTTTTCTCCTTTTGTAAACAGTCACAAGCATATCCCCCAGTTGAAGAGAAAGGGGAAAGCAAGCAAGGTGGGAAGGGGGAAAGGGCAAGGCATATCTTTCAGGATCCACTTGCCTAATATTGGATACATGATGCTCTACAGTAGGCAGAGGGGTGCTCATCAGAGGGGAATCCGACAACAGCGTTTGGGTGAGAAGCTATGTATCCCCCCCGGCCCAGACGCAACCCTGCAGTCGCAGACCGCACGGGTGCCCTGGCGGCCAGGGGGGGGGCCGGGGGGCAGATTGAGGCTGTGCAACCCCAACCTCGCCCCCTAGCAGAAACAAAACAAGAAAACAAAAAACGAATTTCGGGGGGGGGATTGTGGGTCAAAAAAAAA